GGCGGACAAGCTAGGTGCGCTCGCGCCATATCTGACATCCCATCTCTTCTCATTGCGCTGATCAATTCGCCATCCGAGGAAGCGTGTCATAGCCGACCTGGAACTCCCAAAAACACCCGATCGTGTCATGCGCAATCGGAAAACTTGATGATGGCCGCGAACCGAACCGAGAACTGGGAACCGGATCTGGCACCGAACAGGCCGAACCGGACCGGCTGGACGAACCGAACCGGCCCGCTACGCGAACCTAACTGGCCGAACCGAACCGGCCGAACCGGACCAGCCCGCTATGCGAACCGAACCATCGAACTGGTTGAAACAAACCAGCCGAACCGAAGTGGGCCCCTCGCTCGTCCTGGACCCCTAGGGCCCCCTGGGCCGCTCAGACCCCCAAGTCTTTTCTGCAGACCATCTGGGGTCCCATGTACGCGGCTCCCAGATTCGCGCGTACATAGGATGAGGAGGAGGAGGAGGAGGAGGAGGAGGAGGAGGAGGGGGTGGCGGGAGAGCAGGAGGAAATGATGAGGAGGATGAGAAAGGAGGATGGTAACGAACCGCAGCAGCAGGAACTGGAGTGGAAGGGGTGGGAGGAGCAGGTGGATCGGGGCAAGGCGGAGGGGAAATGAGGGGGTCGACAACGATTAAAAAGAACTCGGATACGAAAAAGTGGCCCGCCCCGGGGCGAGAGCGCCATTCTGAACGACGGGAACAAAGCACCGATTCGAAAATAAGGCCCACGCTGCAGCAGAAGCACCTGTTTGGAACACCAAAAATAGTTGGATTGCAAAAGCAAAAAAAGCATGGAACACATCACCTGTTAAAGATCCAGTGTCAAAAGTGCGCGGAGAGGGCGGGATGCCTGCTGCACGAAGCTAGTGGAGATACATGAGGGTAGTATTCATATAGTGTGATTGTGGAGGAGGAGGAGGAGGAGGAGGAGGAAGAGGATCGAGGAGGAGGCTCGAAGAGGAGGACGAAAGGAGGGAGAGGAAGAGGAAGAGGAAGAGGAGGAGGAGGAGGAGGAGGAGGAGGGGGAGGAGGAGGAGGAAAACGAGGAGGAGGAGGAGGCGGAGGCGAAGGCGGGGGAAGGACAGAGGAGAAGGACTTCAGCGGCAGGAAGACACAGTCAAGCTACTAGCACCACAAGGAACGCGGAATCGGGCGCGAAGCCCCTCTTTTTCGCTCCCCGAAGCTCCCGGGTGGAGGCACGCCCAACGAGGCGCTCCAGGAAGGGCGTCGCCCTGGAGGATCGAAGGGCGTCGACGCCTCTTCCTCGCCGGGGGGCGGCGAAGGGCCGACGGAGGGCGGCGGACGCAGAGCAGGGGGCGGCTCCGCTGGCAGAAGCCGGCGGAGGGCCCGCGGAAGGAGACGTCTGCCCTCCAAGAGGTTGCAACTTCTCGGGTGTTGCCCTCCGGCGTCGGAGGTCTTCCTGCGACCTCCAGAGGCCTCAGAAAAGCAAAACGAACTTGCAGACATCTCGACATTCGTCGTCCTGCTTTTCGATTCCTCCCCTCCTTCCTCCTCCTCCTCCTCCTCCTCCTCCTCCTCCTCCTCCTCCTCCTCCTCCTCCTCCTCCTCCTCCTCCTCCTCCTCCTCCTCCTCCTCCTCCTCCAAGGAAACGTCTGCCCTCCTGGCCCAAGGTGCACCCCCAGCTCCTCGCTGCGTTTCGGGGCCCCATGGGGCCCTCGGGGCCTCGTGAGGCGTGCTCTGGAGGCCGTCTGGGCCACCCCGAGAGTCCTGAAGGCCCCCTGACTACCTGCCAGACCACCCCAACCCAACCCGAAGACCCGAATTTCGGGGTGGGGGGGGGGTAAGGGTTCCACAGATGTCTTCTCGATGTTTCCCGACCCCCCCCACACTGGAAATCGAGGGTAAATCTGAGCCTTCGGGTTGGGTTGGGGTGGTTTGGTGGGTGGTGACCCCCTGTGGGATGCACAGAGACATACTAATACTATGTGTCCGCCTTGGAGGCGCGCGTCCGATCCGAACATATAGTATACCCATCTTGTAGTATATCGTTTCCCGAGCGGTGTGGCCAGAAAGCGCCCGCCACGACGCATATACTATAAGATTTCTCGGTGCGCGCGTCGCCCCCGGGGGGGCGACGCACATATAGTATAAGTATGTTGGGGTGTTGCCGACCCTGGGCCAGGGGCACTTCTAGCAACTCCCGCAGCTTCTTGCAGGTTCGGGGCCTCCGGAACGGGGCCGGCCAAATCAAAGGGAAATTAGGACACACAAATAAATACACACAAATAAAAATAGTCCCCATATTTTCCCATATTTTCTGGGTTTTTGTCTTCCCCCCCAATTCCCATATTTTCCCATATTTTCCTGGGAATCGAGGATTAATTGTGTCTGTGTGTTTTTTTCCCTCCTGACAAAGGAGTACAACGAAGCCCCCGTCGTGGCCCCAGAGGCCCCGACGGTGCACGACGGGGACCACAGGGAGCCGCCACGGAAGCACCCAGGAGCAACGAGCCCCTTCCGAGCCCGAAGCATTCCTTGCTTCATCGTCTTCACTGTAGGAGGACGCCAGCTATACACTTATGTCGGGCGTGTCCCCCTACAGGGGGATTTTCGGCGAAAAAAAAAAAAATGCCCCCAAAAGGTAAACGAATACTAAAAAAAAATAGTCCCCAGACTATGTTTGGACTATTGTTTGACTATTTGTTGGGGGGTGTTTTCTATGTCTCGTCGGACATCCCCCTGTAGGGGCGCAGGCCCGACGTGACTGCAGGAGGACGGACGCCAGCTGTACGCCTGCACCGCTCCCGAAAAATAACAAATACCCCAAAGGTACCCCCAAATGGCCATAAAATATTCAAAAAATAGTCCCCAGACTATTTTTGGAGTATTTTTTGACTATTTGGGGGGTTTTTCGTCGAGAATCACCCTGTAGGGGCGCAAGCCCGACGTGACTGCAGGAGGACGGACGCCAGCTGTACGCCTGCACCGCTCCCGAAAAATAACAAATACGCCAAAGATACCCCCAAATGGCCATAAAATATCCCAAAAAATAGTCCCCAGACTATTTTTGGAGTATTTCTTGACTATTTGGGGGTTTTTTCGTCGAGAATCCCCCTGTAGGGGCGCAGGCCCGACGTAACTGTAGGAGGACGCCAGCTACTGCAGGTCCGTGCCGTGTCGACCCTGGCGTTGGTTCCTGACACCGCGCTGGATCGTTCAACCTTGAACGATCGGCCGTCTCCGCAACGTCCGATCGTTCAACGTCGATCGATTCTGGGTCGCCGGCGGCGTTCAACCTTGAACGCCGCTGGCGGGGTCGCCGCTGGTCGACACGACGCAAACCTACCGTAACTGCAGGAGGACGGACGCCAGCTGGACGCCTGCACCGCTCCCGGCGAGGCCCGCCACTGGGCTCTCGGTGGAGCGGTGCTGGCGCCCTCCCGGCCTGGGACAGCGGAAGGCGCACGCGCGCGCCCGCCGTGGGCACGGGATCGGCGCGCGCCCCGGCAGGGGGGAGGCGGAAGGGGAAGAACGAGACGAAGAAGAAGAAGAAGAAGAAGAAAAATAATAATAATACTAATAATAATAATAATAATAATAATAATAATAATAATAATAATAATAATAGTAGTAATACTAATAATAATAATAATAACAATAATAATAAGGGAAGAACGAGACGAAGAAGAAGAAGAAGGGAAGAACGAGACGAAGAAGAAGAAGAAGAAAAGAACGAGACGCTGACGAAGAAGAAGAAGAATAACGAGACGAAGAACAAGAAGAAGAAGAAGAAGAAGAACGGGGAAGAACGAGACGAAGAAGAAGAACGAGACGAAGAAGAAGAAGAAGAAGAAGAACGAGACGATGAAGAAGAAGAAGAAGAACGAGACGAAGAAGAGGAAGAACGAGACGAAGACGAAGAAGAAGAAGAAGGGAAGCACGGCATCGAGTCAGCGGGAGGAGTCGGAGCCGAGGCGGAGCCGCGAGAGGGGGAGGGTCTCCGGGCGCGAGCCGCACGGCCCGGGGCCTCGCGGAGAGAGGTCCGGGGCGAGGAGCACGAGGGGCCCTCCCGGGTGGGCCTCCAGAGGGGTTCTGCGGGGCTTCTGGCTCGAGGGCGCGAGGGGAAGAGGGGAGGGAAGAGGGGGAGGGGAAGGGGGGAGGAGGAGATGGGAGGGGGAGAGAGAGAGAGAGAGAGAAGAGAGAGGAGAGAGAGAGAGAGAGAGAGGGGGGGGAGAGGAGGGGCGGAAAAGAGAGGGGGGAGGAGAAGGCGAGGGGAAGAGCGGAGAAGGGGGAGGAGAGGAAGGAGGGGGGACACGGGAGGACGCGGCGGAGGGGGAGGAGAGCAGGAGGAGGGGAGGGGGAGGGCGGAGGGAGAAGGCTTGGGAGAAAAAGGATTGCGGCGAAGAGGAATGACAAGAACGAGGAGGAGGAGAAAGACCAAAAGGCCAGAAGGAGGAGGAGGAGGAGGAGGAGGACCAGGAGCAGGAGGAGGAGGAGGAGGAGGGACCAACCTTTGCGGCCGCGCCGCTCTTGCCGCCCTTCGTGCCGAGCATCCTCGCCGCGCCGCCCAGCGCCCACACCAGCAGCAGCCCCTCCACGCACAGGAAGGCCCCCGAGGTGGAGGACTGGAACGTCGACTGCTCCAGGGTCCATGCTCGGAGGGGCAGAGGTGCCGCGCGCACGCGGCAGCGCTTCGCAGGGAGGGAGGAGGAGGAGGAGGAGGAGGAGGAGGAGGAGGAGGAGGAGGAGGAGGAGGAGGAGAGGAGGAGGAGGAGGAGGAGGAGGAGGAGGAGGAGGAGGAGGAGGAGGGGGGGAGGAGGAGGAGAAGCGAAGGTGAGGATCGAGGAGGAGGAGGAGGATCGAGGTCTGTGAGGGTCCCGGGGACCGAAACCAGGCGGAAACGCCCGGCGTGGAGTGGAAGCATCGCAGCGCCTGGGTCTCAGGGTGGGCTGCAGTCTGCCCCTCCAGGATGCCAGCGCCGCCCGCACGCCCTCCAGGATGATGACGGCGTGGTAGGACGACCACGCCATGGCGGGAAGGAGAAAAACAGAGAGCGGCCGAGGGCTTACCGCCAAGGGCGCCCTGTTCGCGCTGCCCGCCCGTGGGGGGTATGGGGAGGGCCCTGGGCCAAAATGCAATATTGAGCCAAAGAGGCTGCGGAGGAATGATGACGAGGACGAGGCAGCAGGACGGATAGACGACGAGGAGGGATGGACGAGGAGGCCGACGCCGACGCCGACGCCGACGCCTACGCCGACGCCTACGCCGAGGCCGACGCCGACGCCGAAGCCGCCACCGCCGCCGCCACCGCCGCCGCCGCCGACGACGACGACGACGAGCTGCCACTGCTGCTGCTGCCGCCTCCGATGCCACTGGTGCTGCCGCTGCTCCTGCTTCGGCCGCTGCCGCCGCCGCCTTCTGCTGCTGCTCGCCTCATTGTCGCCCCGCCTCCACGGTCCGAGCTCTGGGGCTTCTCTGCATTCGCCGCGTGCGAGAGAGAGGAGGAGGAGCAGCAGGAGGAGGAGGTGGGATGGGGAGGAGGAGGAGGAGGAGGAGGAGGAGGAGGAGGAGGAGGAGGAGGAGGAGGAGGAGGAAGACGAGGACGAGGACGAGGACGAGGACGAGGAGGAGGAGGAGGAGGAGGAGGAGGAGGAGGAGGAGGAGGAGGAGGGGGGAGAGAGAGAGCAGGCGGGCGGACGAGGACGGGGAGACTTCGACGCCCCATCACAGGACGAGAGGAGGGCGAAGCAGGGCGAGGGCGGCGAGGGGAGCCGGGCCAGGAACGGGCACCGCGCTCCGCAAGCTCGCTCGGAGGACGACCACGGGCTCCAGGCGGTGTGAGGGACCAGGGCTTGGTTGGGCGTGTCCCTCTACAGCAGCCGTGCTTCAAAACAGTCCCAAAAATCAGTAGGGGGACGACTTGTTCTGACTGCTCTCGAATCGTCTTGGCTAATTATGTCTTGACTCGTTTGGACGTCTCCCTCCAGGAGCCCGCCTGCGGGAGGGCACGCCCGACCCGAGGCCAGGGGGCTCCTGGCAGAGGCGGGCCCTGGATCCCCGGGGCCTTCCCCGAGCCCAGGTGCTCGCCCCGCGCGCGGCAGACGGCGCACGCCTGCAGGCGGCCTAGCCTTTATAGCTGCGGGGTGAAGCTATCATGCCATCGATGTCCCCTTGTCCGGCCAGACGCGGTGGTTCGTCGGGGGAGGAGGTGGAGGGAGAGGAGGGAGGCAGCGCGAGGCCTTCCGACGGCCCCCGGGGCCCGGGCGGGGCCGCGGGAGCCCGACCATGGCGACGGGCAGGGCTCGAGAACGCCCCCCCGTCGGATTCGCAGGCAAGAGGGCCCCGGACCCTCGGGGACGGGGGCCCCCTCTGACTCGCAGGCAAGAGGGCCCCCGACCCTCTGGGAGGGGGCCCCTCGTAGGAGGGCCCCCCCAAAAAAACACCAGGCACAGGCGGACTCTCCTGCAGAGGCAGCGAGCCAGCCCGCTCGGGATGGAGATCCCGAGTGCAGAGACGGGGACCTGGGCGAGGCCACGTCTTCACTATGTTATGACGATTAGGGGTTATGTCATCCTTGATGACCCTTCTCCCAACGAGCAGTCTTCTTCCCCCAGTAGCTGCCAGGCCAGGCAGGACGATGACCACGGAGAGCCCTGCGGGGCGGTGCCCGCACGAGGGGAGGGACGGCGACGCCGACGCCGACGCCGACGCCGAAGACGACCACTACGACGACGACCACGACGACCACGACGACGACGTCCAGGACGACGACGACGACGACGACGACGACGACGACGACGACGACGACGACGGCGACGGCGACGGCGACGGCGACGGCGACGGCGACGGCGACGGCGACGGCGACGGCGACGGCGACGGCGACGGCGGCGACGGCGAAAGTGGCGAGGGCGCCGACGACGGCGGAGTAGTTTCGGAGAGTCCTTGAGCGCTCCCCACGCACGGTGGGCCGCGGCCCGAGAGAGAAGAGGATACCCCAGCCCCCCAACTTCGACGCGAATCGACGCTGGTCTACGCTAACTCGGCACTACCGGACGCAAATCGACGCTACAGTGCACTCCAATGACGTACGCACGAGGGCATACAAAGCTCCCCGCATGGCTTGCCGCCGAACCCGGCTGCCCACATCCGCGCACCGCGCCCCGCGAGATACGCGGCGCCGCGCTCCTCGCCGTCGCTCGGACGCCCATTCCCCATGCATTCTTCGATTTCGCGCGCTGATCTCTCGCACTGTGGGAGGGAGCGGGGGAAGGGGAAAAAGGGAGGAGGAAGAAGAGGAGGAGGAGGAGGAGGTAGGAGGAGGGGGGGAGAAAGGAGGAGGAGCAAGAGGAAGAGAAGGAGGAAGAGAAGGAGGAGGAGGAGGAAGAGAAAGAGAAGGAGGAGGAGGAGGAGGAGGGCGAGGACGAGGACTAGAAGGAGGAGGAGGAGGAGGAGCAGAAGGAGGGGGAGGAGGACGGGGAGGCCCTGGATGCCCCTCAATGGCCCTCGCCGACAAAAAAACACGCGCCCGAG